GTGCGGGAGAGAGGATTTCCCCACCCGTGGATCCAGCAGTGTCCCATTGGTCCTCTTTCTTCTGGTGTCTTGGTGGTGAGGGTCCCACCCCAGCTTCTGGTGTTACCCTTTTTATGCAGTTCAAGTCCCAAAATCTCCACCCAGTTGCAGGAACCTTCATGTATATGCATGGTGGGCGTGATGCCATGCGAGGGCGGGCATGGTCCGGTCTGGTGCAGGCTCGGTGCAGCCCGAGTGGTCAGGGGGTCGCGCTTACGCACCAAGAAATGTTTAAGGCAAATGCCCGCTCCTCTGTCCACCACAACTGTTCCTCCTGTTCTTTTGCCACCTCTGCTTTCTCCTCTTTTCATCTTCCTTCTTTTCTTTCTCTTCTTCCTCCTTGTTCTGATTCTCTTTCTATGTTCCTTGTCCTCTTCATCCCCTTCCTCCTCCTCCTCCTCCTCCTTCTCTTCTCACTCCACTTCTAACTCCTAATATTTAACGACTTCAGCTTGCGTCCCCCACCTGCTCAGATCCTCTTTTTAGGGTGGCTGGGTGGGAGGATGCTCAGCAGGGAGATTTCAGTGCTGCCATGCTGTGTGCCCTCCCAGAAAGCCTGCAGGGGTTTCTCTGACCCTGAACCCCAACCCCACGCTGTCCTCACCAGGAGCTTGGGGTTGGACCCAAATCCCCGCTGCTGGGGCCATGGGGTCTTCTCCAGCCGAAACCCCAGCATCCCACTCAAACAAGGGACCGTCCCGTGGGGGTGCCGGGGCTTCCCCCAGATGGTCTCCGTCCTCTCCAGGTAAGGACCATCCCACCCAGTCCCCCATCATCATCCTCACCTCCACCTCCCAGCCAGCAGCTCCCGAATCCTGGGGCGGGGGGGTGTCTGGTCTCTCCCATCCCCTATGCACACCCTCGGGACGCCCGGCTGTGCCCTGACACCCTGGGTACAGCCACACTCAGGCCAGCACAGGGACCGGGGCGATGGGGTGGCCCCGACGTGGGGCCAGGCGTGCCCGTGGCGTGTGTTTATGTGCGTGTGCGAGTTGAGTACGCGTGGTACCGAGGGCAGGCACTGCCATCACCCTCCCCTCCCCGTGCCACCTTTGCTGCGCTCTAAGGGCCGAGGCACAGCAAAGCTGGTTTGAATTGGTGTGGGCAAATCCAAGGTGCTAAAAAACAAAAAAGAAAGAAAAAAAGATAAATCTGTAACTAGCTTTTTTATTATTGTATGGAAATTATTACCATAAAAGCTGTGCGAGTCACACCGTCTCTATTTCTTACAGTCTACTGTATTTTGCGTAATTGATGCAATTTAAAGCCTGTGGATTTTTTTGTTGTTGTTGTTGGTTGTGTCCTATAAACAATTTTCTAAAGGCACTGAATAAAGAAACGTTATCCTCTTGTAGCCTGGCTCCGCGTGATGATGGGGAGCTGGTGGCTGGGAGACACTCGCCCTGCCCCCCCGAGCCCCCGATCCTTAGCCTTGGGCGGTACCTGATGGTGGCAGCCATGGGCATCCTGCCCGTGCTCTGGTTGTGTTTGTGGCTGGGGGCGGGCAGAGCCCTGTCCCCATGGAGCAGAAAACTGGTCCCAGGAGGTTGTGTCCTCAACAGGCCGGCGCCGAGGATGGGTGACAGGACAGGAGACTAAGAACACAGCGATGGTGACACTCACTTATGGACCCAAGACCTGGTGATGGTGGTCACGGTGCCAGTGCTCAGGCTCATACAGCATCTGCCTCCGGGCTCTTCTCCTGTGCCAGCACCTCAGCGGGGAGCTGGCACGGCTCCTTGGCCAAGGCCAGCTCCGCCGGCTGCTTGCGGCGGGCGGGGCCCACACAAACAGCCGACAGCAAGTAGACCACCGCCAGCAGCGTGAAGTAGCCGAAATACACGTAAAACTGCAAGAGAGGAGGGGTAGAGAACACCACTCTGCAGTCTCCACTCCCCCCTTCATCCCACACCATTAGGGGACCACTTCCATCCTAGGTTCCTACCTGAGGATGCACAGATAAGCCCAAGCCCCTCTTGTCAGCCACAATGATGGTGATGATGGTCTTCAGCACGGTGCCGAAGAAGGTGTTCATCCCGAAGACGAGCGCGCAGAGCTCTTTGGAGAGGGAGCTAGCAATCTGGAAACTGGGAAAGAGGGGGGCACCAGTGAACCCCTGGTACCAGCCTGGCTGCCAGGGGGGGAGCGGGTCCCCTGGGGTACCACGCACGTGGCAATGGGCACCAGGAACTGGTAGGAGCTGCGGAAGAGGACATAGGCAGTGTAGCACAACCAGATGTTGCTGGTGGTGTTCATAAGCAGGAGCAGCCCTGCCTGGAAAGCCGTCACCACCCCGATCACCAGCTCCGACCACAGCGTCCAGCGGATCTTCAAGTAGCCGGCGGCGAAGGAGGCACCAGCCCCTGGAGAGGGGATGAAGGATGCTGTGAACACCTCACCAGCACGGCACCACCTTGCATCCCCCCAGACTAGCGATGTTCACCTCATCTAGTGATGCTCATCTCATCACCACTGCCAAACCACCCCCCGGATCCCCCCAAAATGCCGTAAGGACCGCCATTCCCAGGGGATGCAGCGGGACAGGGGCGTCCCCCTGCATCCCCAAAGTCCCCAGCCCAAGCAAGCATACCCAACAGCGTGGAGGCAGCATCCACCCCTCCATTGTACACCTGGCGGTTGTCCGTGGTGGGGTAGATCTCATTCCAGAGGATCTGCACGTAGTACAGCATCAGGTAGTAACCAGCCGAGTTGAAGATCCACCACAAGGACCAGAGCCGGAGCTGGGGTTGCCTGGCCAGCCCTC